TTAGACATATAATAGAAGTAAATAAGAAATCAATGCCATCTAAATTTGGCCGACCTCCACTAAATATTGTTCAGCATTCTAATGCATTTAAAGCTGAAGATTGGGTAAATTGGACTTGCTTATATTCATTACCATTATTACAGTATTTTCATAATAAAAGGTATTTTTTAATTAGTTTTATTAAATAAATATATTTATAAAAAACTTATTTTTATTTTATAGTTTTGTAGACAATTGGTATTTCTTTGTAGAAGCTGCTCAAATTGCTATAAAAAAAAACAATTACTTATGAAGAATTATATTGCTTAGATGATAACTTTCAAAAAATTTTTAAAACATATACAAGGTATTATAATATTTATGTTTTATTTATTTATTTAAATACAATAATATATTAATAAATGCTTAATTATTTTAGTTTATATATTGGCAATGATATAAAATGCTTACCATCTTTCCGAATTACATTTCATTATTTGCTCCATATACATGCTTGTATTAAAAATTGTGGTCCATGTTGGGTATATTGGCAGTACCCAATAGAACGTTTATGTGGAATATTACAACCTATGGTCCGATCTAATTTACATCCATATAAAAATTTAATGAACAATATTTTATTACAAGATCGTTTTTATTATTTATGATTTATTCCAGATTTATATAATCAAATTTCACCTTTACAACCATCTAAACAATATAATTTACATCAAGTAGTTTGGATTAAAGATGGTGGCAAAGAACTTTGGGCACCCAGTATAGAATATACATTAAACAATAAAGAATTTATTGCTTTATCAAATTTTAATCGTGCTAATTTAGCAAGACCAATTTTAGAGGTAAGCATATTGATATAAATACTTATAATATTAATTAAATATTAATTGAATATTAATATATTACATAAGTTAAATAATTGGGAAGTAAAATATTCCAAGCTTCAAACAAAAGACGGCTATATGATTGGTTCATTGATGTCAAAAGTAGCAACGAATGCACGTGATAATTCATGTATAATGGTAAGCTGATTTTGTAATATACATACTATCTTTCATTTAAATACTACATTTATATATTTAACTAATATATTATTTCTCTAAAGTATGAACTTGAGATCAATATTTCTAAGCCAAAAAATACCAAAAAATACAAGCTACAACAATTTTTTGATCATGTACATTATTATTTTCATTATGTATTCCATAGACGATATCAACTACTTGCATATATTCATAATGCTAAAAATGTACAAAAGGGATTATATGACTTATATAGTTTTGAAAAATTTGGTGATTATGAGTTTGTAGATGTATCAAGGATACAAAGATGTGTAGGATTTTTGAGAGTTGGAAAAAGTTATTATGTTATAGACAAGACAAATTAGGCTAAATTCAAATTGTATTTTATAGTCGTCTTATGTTTAAATTCCAAACCAAGATGAATTTAGCTATTAGAAATGCAGAATAAATTTAATTTGATTAGTATAGTTTGCAAAACAGTACATATTTTACATACTAACATTCATCATTATGGTATTTCATAAATAAGCTTGTATATACTTTATGTACATGCCATTTCTAGCATATACGTACCATGCCGTCCAACAAGCCTATACTGAAAAGAACGTACAATCACGCGCCACCAGTACACATGCCACACCGTACCGAGAACCTGCCCGTGCCACGAATCCGAACCATCTCGAATATTACTGAAACCATCCCGTACCACAACCCGGATCACTTTTCTTATAGGGTTTATATGTATTATAATTCACAGTTCACATCTCTAACTACAGTAATTTTAATAACTAATTTTTTTTAATCAATGAAATCACCCGTTTATTGAAATATTTGTTTTCGGTGTTGGCGGCAATAGATAAATAGAACATTAAAACAATAGAATAGAATTTAGAATAAAGCAAAAATTTTATCAATAGAACAAACAATTGACAAAATTATATTGTTTAAAAATAATAGCGATACGAAAATCCCTGAACCGGCACAGAGATACATTGTAGTGAGCATGTGAGACACATGACACTACAAGTATCTCTGCGTCGGTGGACGCAGAGATAGTGTCATGTGATATTAATGTTAACATTAAGTCTTTAATCATAATTTTTCCAATAAATGTAGTTTGATTAGAGATATACTTCGTTAATGTTTAGTCAATAATGAGGATCATTACTCCAACATTGAACCATTAACTTTTTAAACCATTCTGGTGTATCATTTGTAATAGTTGATCGAAATCTATCTAAAATATTTAAAATTAACTGTGTATTATGCGACTCATTAGCAAATGGTTTTTTTCCAGAGGTAAATTCCCGCATGAGTATGACAAAGCTATAAATATTGGTAGTTTTGTAAAAAGTCTACTATTAAATATTTCGGGTGCAATATATAGTACAACTCCTTATATTAATTTTGAATTTGTGGATTCATTAGCCGGCTCACATAATCTTAGATCACCTATGAATGTGTAGTTTCTATTAGACAATTTTTCTATGAATATGTTTCCACTGTGTAAATCGCGATGGGTCAAATCCTTATCGCGAATTACTTTAAGACTAACCTTTTTGCAATATCCAATAATAATACAATTT